TTATCTAATTAATTAATCAAAAAATAATTTTCGATCACAATTTATCAAATTATTGGTCACAAATCAAAAATTTTATAAGTCAAAAATTATTTCTTAAACACGAATCAAAATTTAATATGTCACATATTATTCATCGATCGCCAATCAAAAAATTTATTGGTGACTTATTTTTTGGTCACAAATCAAGAATTTTATAGGTCACAAGTTATTTTTCGGTCACAAATCGAGAATTTTATAAGTCACAAATTATTCATCGATCACAAAATCAAAATTTTTATTGGTCACAACTCAATTACAACTTAATAAATTGTGAGTCAAAGTCACAATTTTTAGATCACATATTATTTATTTGTCAAACATTAAACAATTATTGGTCACAATCAACCAAATAATTGGTCACAGACACCCACCACATCTTATCGCACCCACGACCATCGCTGCCACCACCACCGTACACAGCACCGCTGTCAAACACCACCACTGCACAACACTTGCAACCACTACCTCAACACTGCCTCCAGCACCACCACCACCACCACCACCGTCGCCGTCAGAACCACCACTACCACCTTAAACAAATCAACACCATCGCCACTCGCCACCAGAACCACTATCACCACCATTGCAAACAAATCACAGGTGGCAGAAAAACACCACCACCACCTCTTCACCTCTACAGCACAGCCACCAAATCAGGACTTAGAGCACACCATCGCCACGATTAAATCCATCACCACCAACTCTAGATCCACCATCAGTAGCCCGATCTACCACCGACACTAAAATAACCCAAACATCACCTCCACCACACTACACGCACAACTCCACACATGACCTATTAACGGCACCGCACAACTCCATCCCCACTGCACCACCACCCGCGCACGGCACCATACAGTTTACCTAACCGCTACACTGCACTGCACACCTCCACTTCCACATCCACCGCACCAAAGCACATCACTGCACACAGCACCCGATCTCTGTTCCTACCACCGCACCGCATACCTCGGCCACCATAGCACTCCGCACCTGCACCATCGAACCGTCAATCACCACCTCTCAACATAAAAAAAAAATGAGGGAAGAAGGATGGATTAGCACCATGCGGAGATGAGCAAAGCGGATTTGGATCGACGCGTTGAGCACAGGGACGTCGTCGACAGAGATGGGAGGCATCACGGGTGAAGGTTGGTAGAGAGAGAGAAGAGAGAGAATTCGAAGAAGATGAGAGATAGAGAGAGAAAGAAAATGGAAATGGTTTCTAGGGTTTAGGATAAAATTGATTAGGGTTTGGGATGAAAATTGTATAATTAATATTTAAAATTTAAAAATGAAATAACTGCGTTAACATACAAAAATAAGGCACAATTAAATGGTCCAAAGAATGAAACCCAGTTAGGAAATTCGAAGGATGTGCCCAAAACGAGCCATGTAAAAACTCAAGATGAAGTTATGTAGCGGAGGTTCATCATCGCTCAAGCTTGCGAGATGCCCAAGATATGGGCTAGCCCATCATCGCTTAAGCCTACGAGACGCCCAAGATCTAAGCGAGTATAATGTCTTGATTTTTATTTAAAGCAACGATTATTGAAACAGTTAATGGGTAATCTTATCACATTCCATGATCCAAGAATCTCGGTTGCAAGCAGTTAAATGATGGGAATAATGACAGCAGTTGAAAACGGTAGTTTCTTGACAAGTCATCAATTATGGAGAATGTGGGTAGTTATAGGGTGATGAGCAGTTTTCAAACGATTCTACAAGAAAAAAAACTATCAAATGAGTATAGAAGAGAATATAGAAGAGGCGCGAATCAAATGACTCTCAAATAAAAAATTATATAATTTCATTTCTTTTTTCTTATTAACTTTCAATTACTTTGCGAATTCAGTGTGCTTGTGCCCTTTGGAGGCATTTCGCTTCTTGCAA